AAATTTATTCACATTTATTAAAAATAATTATTTTTAATCTAAAAAATTATAATAAATCTCAACTATTAAAAATAAAAAAAATGAATGATCAAAATTTTATATATATGTTGTGTATAATATTTATATGTAAGTGAATGATTTCTTTATTTATATTTATTAAAGATTAATTATCTTTTTTGTTTAAATTAAAAGTTATGATAAATCTTAATAATCAAAAGTGTAGAAATAAATAATCATAATTTTATATAAATATAATATTTAAAACTTGTGTGTAAATAAATTCTTTTTTTTTATTTATCTAATTAGAGAAAATTACAATTAATTATTCTCCAACACCTACACCGAATGAGAGAGCGTGCAACATAACAACAGTTATGTAAATGTTCCATCTAATCAATCCTTTTATTGGAAAATCAAGAAGTTGGACGCCTTGATTAGGAAAAAAATTACCATCCTTGGATCATATACAAATTCACGAAAGCTGATATTCCCTAAAACTTTTGCAGCCCAATCCAAATAATCCAAAACATAACCCATAACTCGTTGATTGTGGTAGAACTAGCAAAAATCAACCTAAATCATTCTGATGACTTCTTCTCTCCATCTCAAAAACTGGTCTGGGCTATTCTGCGTGAGGCCCAGGATATGGGGGGCCTAGCCCTAGTATGTGAAAACCCGTGTACTTGGGTTCAGTGAGGAAGGGAAACGAAAACAAAAAGCAGAAAAACTAAACGGATTACCTGTGCCAATTTAGGGGGAAAAAAATTGTTTGGTGTACGTAAAAAATAATAATAATAATAAAATTCCTTCTTGTAGCTATCATTGATTCCATGCGTTGGTCATTAGTGTTTTAAGAATCGAGCGTTTATTGAATTAAAATTTTTAGCTTTAATTTTATATTAAAACTTTAAAATTAATAAATATTAACTTAATTCAACTCTGGTTAACGTAACGGACGGACGTATACATTAATCTTTATATTGCATTGGCTACTTTGGTGTTTTAAGAATGGAGTGTTTCTCTTGCCTCGTTTGGTCTGGTTTCCAATGCAATGATCATTGAGTCTACGTACTAAAAACAAAAAAAAACAAAAAAAAAAAATCAATAATCTTGTAATTTATTAGATTCCAATGCAATGATCATTGAGTCTACGTACTAAAAACAAAAAAAATAAAAAAAAATCAATAATCTTGTAATTTATTAGATTAATTATTTCGTGAAAATTAAAAATTGATTTTAATCTAAAAACAAAAAGTAGTTTAACTACTCCCATAACTCGTGCAATTCACGAATGCAAAATAATACAGTATTCCCTAAAACATAGATCTGCAAAATACAATATTTTAAACTCATAATTATTTGTCCTAGTTCGGTAGACCCCGTCTTATTTTCTTCTCAAATCAAAGTGAAAGATACAGTATAATCTTATAATTTATTAAATTAATAACTCGTGAAAAAATTAAAACAAAAACATTTTAATTTTTTTCCTTAAAAAAATAGGGGTGAGAACCATGTAGCATGAAGTCATGAGCTCTATTTTCCTTCTTTCTCAAGCCTCATTTGACAAATTTTTGCAGAGCTGGGGAAACTGGAAAGTGATCACATTCTCCCCCCCAGACAGGGGTGTATTAATGATTTTACTTTTATCCCTTCAACAGCATTAAACAACTTCTAATAAAATATTAGGTTCATTGACTACAGTATGATTATATTAACTAACATTTACAATATTATAACATTTTCTTGTGAGAAATAATTTATATGTAATTAAAAAGTAAGTGAACTTTTGAATATGATATAAACATTCAACATAAAAGTGAATATTCTATAATATGCCTATTAATTATTTTTTAACTAACCGGTGTAGATTCCTTTAATTATAATAATCTTATGTTTTTGTATCGATCTGCAAATAAATTTATGAAAAAGATACAAAAGATACCTTGATTCTTTATATGGATATTCTTTATACAAACTATCAAGCACCATATATCACTCTCTATGAATATTAAATCCTATGCCTTTCAAAATACAAAATAAAGGAACTGGACCCAATTACTAAATGAAAAGGCAAAACTCTCTTCTTTATGGTTTATCCTTTCAGCCACACAAACGACTTGACTTGTATGAAACCAAATACTCTACGTCTCAACCTCATCCATCTGTTCTTCTCTAAAAATGACTCCATTCCTCGCCATCCAGATAGCCCATAACACTCCACCAAAAATTAGGGATCCTACTTCAATATTTATTTTGTTGAACATTCCATAGACAAATTATAGACACAAGTCACGGATTGAATCAGGGTATATAAAAAGCACACCCCACCACTTGGAAACAGTCCATCCAAACTTTGTAAGAGTAATCACACTTCAAAAATAGATGTGCTGCACTGTATAATGATCTTATGTGACATAATTGTAATGTACTTTTTTAATAATTGGCATGAATCACTATATATTTATTCATTTAATAGTTTATACTTATTATGAAACATTATTTATAAGACAAAATTCTGAATTTCTGATTAAATGAGTTTTGTTATGCGTATATATCAAGACCAATTATGTCCATTTACAATCTTTAAATTTAAATTGCTACTATCATTAAAGCATCTAATACTCCACCAATCAAACAAAGACCAATAAAGTTCCCAAGCACGCCAATCGCGTCTTCCAACATTATCATGACT